CAATAATTTCATAAAACTATTTGTACTTTATACGGCTGCTCCCAACTTACGTTTTTTGTTAAGCTTGCTTTTGGTACAGAGAGAGAGAGAGAGCGCCTCAGTGAAGCGAACACGTTTTTCCGGTTCCAATTATGCTCCCTCTACAGAGAAAGCACTGTGCACGGAATCGGGGTACTAAATGGGATTTGGACTTGATACGCCCACGAATTCCTTTTTCATGCTGTTCATTCATTGATTGTGATGATGAATGAACTATGACTCTAAGTTTCGTTTCGTGCATGTTTTGCTTTGTAGTGAGCGGCTCACCTCGATCAATTTATTTGATAGTGATTGAAACGCTGTGCTGAATTTGATGAAATAAAAACCATATAGTTCACCTGAAGCAATATTCTTAGCTTCATTTGCGCAAATAGTTTTCAACCTTTCTGTTCTTTTTGTTTGATCTGAATCTTCACACGGACTACGTCCAAGTGTGACCATTACGGGAACGGGATAAAAATAGATTGCCAGGTTTTGAACATCGCTGTCAACGTTGCATTGCACGGAGTAACTGGACGAGCAATGCCGATGTTAGGTGTAGAGTTTTAGGTTATCGCGGACGTCCAATGGAGCAAGTGATCGACTTCCATAGATTACGCTAGTTAAGACATGTGCTGCGTATATCACCAGATAGGTTGCCACGGCGCGCGATGTTTTCCATGAAAGGTAGCGGATAGAAAAGGGTCAGGGGCGGTCAAACTGATGCCTGGCATGAGTTTATAAAAACCCTAACCAGGACGCTGGGTCACATAGGTACCGTTAAGCTCCCTGGATGGGCACCTCGAGATCATGGTTACCGGTGGTTAGAGATACTGAGCGATATGACTGTGTCGCAAACAGTGTCCTCTTTGAATCCACTCAATATACTTGCAACTTTGGTCCATATAAAATCTCTATCTTCCGCTCCAATTCGCTCTGAACGTTCCAATCTTCATTCTGCGCTTTTACCCAAATGGGCGACTAAGAGACAGCAACCAAAACCGGCGCACAAAGGCACATGGCTAATGCTTGTCAAAACTGAAACTTGGACGTAGTCAGTGAATTTACCATTGCGTTTTGGTGAAGTGAGGAGTTATTAGGTTATTAGATTCCTATCGTTCATGATGAAGTTGCAATTTAATGGAACCGGCCTACGTGATCAGATTGTTTATTCTAGTTGACTCACAAATCGAACATTTGATTGTGCCCAAAAGCTGTACTTGTCTTCATTATAGGCTGTTTGGTCACACCAAGTGAGTTACTAGATAGTTGGTGAATTTTTCTATGGGTATCTATCTTCACTTCAAAAAATATTCACGGTTTTGCCCTTACGCATACACATGGTCTCCGCAGATTTCGATGGTTTAGGCGTGTCTGGTATGTTTTCTTGTAGACGTCTTTAGGTTGCAATGTTTTCTGATAATCAAAAAAAAAATGTTTTAAAAGATCGAGAGGGAGGGATGGATGGTATAACTTAACCTGGAGATATCAAAATCTTCACCAGTCTGCTTATTCTCGCAGTTTATTGGCTTCCGGGCAAACAGCTAAGGAAAATGGATAAGTTTGAAAAAAGGTTGACGATGGTGTATCAATGAACCGATTTTCCAGTACTCTGTCGCTTTGTTTGGACAAACCGATTGCAGCTTGTTGTTTATTGGTATTTGTCTTCTTTGCTGGTTGTTTAGATAGATTCTTTCGTCAGGATGAGGACACAGGAACGTCGATTCAAGGGTTGCTCGAGTGGGAACACAAATTTAATTCGGCTTGACAGTTTGGTTAGTCAGCCCATCGATCGAAGAAAAACATCTAATGCTCTTGATATGGAAAACTTCTTGATTTTGAACAAACCCTTCATCTCCCCTTTTTGGAACTCGAAATTGCAAACAGCCGCTCCTCACGCATTCTTTTTGAATTGTCTACTCACTACTTCTCAGCTAAGCTGGTGCATTTTGATCGGTTTGAAAGCATTCTGTTAACCTTCTGCATACATTTTTCCGTATGCATCAGGTGAAATCTGAACCAATAACGATACGCCTTGACATGTTACTTAGTATTGGGAGGCCTGTAGTTCAACAAGAAGTAAAATGTGGTGTGCATCGCCAGACACATTTTCCTGTTGTTCTGATGTTCGCTCCATATTCATCCCACGATGAGTATTATACGACAAAACAGGTTTACCAAATTTATCGAGAGATGAGAATTGGACACGTGCACATAGTGTTAGCTATTGGCTGTAATGAACATACGTAGATGCTGATCCGATAGCCTACGACTACCTCAATTCGCGTTAGAATTTTTACTTTTGGGAGCCCAATGTTTTTCTTCATCACCGTGCTCTTCGTAGTTACATAACATTTGATAGAATACACGACAAGATTGGCGTGCCCATAAGCTTGATCAGCATTTCTGTATTCCAGGCATTACCACCGACAGCCTCGTTATCAGTTTCGTGTTCAGCTGTTCAAATGCCATCGGTTCTGAAGAATGACGTACTTTCCCGTATGCTCACAAGGCAACGGCTCACCGTTAATGTCAGGTTTGTAAGCCCATCGATCTGCCACGAAGTTGTTGTGCACCTCGTTAACATTTTTCCTCCCCAGACAGTTGAGTGGCTTTGTGTTAGTGAAATTTGCTTCCTTGTTCGTCTGCACCCGCCGCCTGTCGCGCTTCATGTTGCACTCTCACGCGTCTTGAAGCTGGACAATGCAAATGACAGATTGTCAGTCGCACACCTTCCGTTCGTCCCAAAACACTCCGTGCTTCCTGCGGTCCAACTCACATTCTGTGGGAAATGCACATTCCGGCAACTACCAGCGAGCATCAGTTTATCTCCACACCCTAACGGGTTAATGAACACACGCTCTGCGTGTATGATTGTAATTGACAGGTCTCATACGCATAGTTGACATGTGTAGCAGGCGTAGACGTTGGCAGTAAAGTTGATCGCCTTCAACACTTCCTATCCCTCCACCATCTCTTGTCTACATTTGTTCGTGTCAAAACTGAACCAGGGCTAGATATGCATTTCTCTCTCTGTCCCTCGCTTTCTGTTAACCGATACTGTCGTCAAAACGACCACACGTGGCGTCTTCAAGCTTCTCGCCTCACTCGGTCCACATTTCGCCACTCACTCCTAGGAGTGTGTATGCTAAGGCGACACACGTGTGTGCGTATATTTCGATGTTGGTTGATTAACGCAGCTGTCTTGTTATCATCATCATCATCACCATCATCATCATCATCAACAGCAGCAGTTCATCAATCTC